ATAAACTGGCCAAGTTCATCAGCTCCTTGTGAAATATTTTTTCTTTATCCTCACAATTTAGTGACAAAAAAGCTACTCTAAACTTCTATTTTAGAAATTCGTTTGTCCCTCCACCACTTCATAACATGCCTCTTCCGGCAATATTTGGTCCAGGGTTCATCCCAAGACTTGGAATAAGAATTGTGTATGTAAGGTGATTGTGTTATAATTATATTATCTATAATGTGATCCCACATTTAGTTTATTATTGCTCACAGTAATTAATTTCGTCAACGTTTATTGAGCGCATTAAAATACGTGATAACTATGATCACCCAATATTAAGATAATTATCGTGATGGGAGAAGTTATCTATAAGAGTATGAATTAGGATATAAATAGGTCATCTAAGCCAAACTCTCTCATAACAAGAAGATCAATCTCTCATTAATTGATCTGAGATATCGAAAAACACACCATCGACGTTGAGAGAGCAATTGGCTAGAAGTACCTATCGACGATCGTCAAAGCTCTGCGTATCAGGTTCTCGATTTCATCAATAGCTGGAGGTTAGTACAAATTTTTCAACATTTCCGCACTCGATTATGATTATGCATGATTATAGTTTATACATGAATAATTGAAATCTTCAGTCTTCCGCTATAGTTAAATTTCTAACAATTGGTATCAGAGCATGTTTATATCTCTACCTTGATGATTTTTCATGAGTTTTGAATAAATTAAAAATCGAGGCAATTTATGAGCAAAAGAGAAATTGGCGATTCCGGCCAAATTTGGACAACCCATCACCCGACTTTGGACCAGCACAGTCGCACCGCCATGAGCAACAAAAGCCCTAAGTTAATTCGGCATTATGATGTTCGTTGGACGTGAATTAGGCGGCGAAAGTCGTGGTGGTTAGGGTTTGCAGTTTGGCTAAATTTTGATTGATTCGGGGCAATTTCTTGACCGTTTTCACCAATTCTTGGACCTATGCGGTTGTGCCAACATGATCTCGAAAACTCACCAATTATTTTGGTCCATGGTGGCTTGCCAGAGGAGAATCGGGCGGAGGAAGGCACGGCGGAGGAAGGATCGCGCGGCTAGGCAGGCGTGTGTGACACACGTGCCCGTGCGAAGGCCAGGCACGTGTGATCCACGCGCCTGCACAGTGGATCCCGTGCGTGTTGTTCACGCGGTAGCGTGGTGGCTTGGGTGCATGTAGCACACGCGCCCATACGGGGTCCCAATGCTTAATTACTATTCTGCCCTTCCCGTTCGATTTTACTATTTTGCCCCTCTTCGTTAAAAAAAAATTCCTGTTTTGCCGCTTTGGCCACTAGATTTTACTGTTCTTCCCTTGTCCGCGTGATTTTTACAGTTTTGCCCTTGCATGCAATTTGGTGATTTTTATGCATGTAATTAAATGTCTAGTGATCCATATAGTTTTAATTAATTAGAAAGTAGCCACAGTATCTTTAATTAGTTAAAATTATATATTAAGAGCATCCGGATCACATTTAGAAAAGGACATTGATTGTAATTAATCGTATGAATATAATGAATTTTGTCACACAGGAATTTTCATTGTATTAATATGATTAATTATGATGAAATATCATATTATTTTTCTTAATTTACCTACAGGGATTAAGAAAAGGAATATAATATGGTAGTTTCTTCATAAAGTAATTATGAATCTATTTAAATTAAAAACTTAGCCTACAAGCAATTTTTACGTTATGTGATTCATATTTGTGACATGTTTTACATTAGTAAAGCATGATATATGTTTGATACGCCTCAAATTGGTGACATGAGCATGTATGTTTGATATGCAGTTATACAATCTGTGAATTTCTTTGAATTTAAGAATGATATTCCTGTGCTGAATGGTGAAAACTATAAAGTTTGGAAGGAGTTAATCCTTCTTCAATTGGGGTGCATGGATATTGACTATATTATACGGAAAGACGAATCGCTTGCTCCTTTTGACACGAGCACTGTAGCTGAAATAGCCCTTTTTGAACAATGGGAGCGGTCCAACCGCCTTAGTGTGATTTGAACCAATGCCCGAGGAATGATTTAGAAAAGGGAACGGATGAATAACATCACATATGCTTCTGCTGTTGGAAGCTTGATATATGCTCAGGTTTGCACTCGACCTGACATTGCTTTTGCTGTGGAAATGTTGGAAAAATATCATAGTAATCTAGGAATGGACCACTGGAGAGCTGCAAAAAAGATGATGAGGTACCTTTAAGGTACAAAAGATTAGATGCTTATGTATAGACAAACTGACAACCTGGAGGTAGTTGGTTATTCGGATTCGGATTTCGCTGGTTGCGTTGATTCTCGAAAATCAACATCTGGATATATTTTTATGTTAGCTAGCGGAGCCGTATCTTGGAGGAGTGCGAAGCAGACTTTGGTTGCTACTTCCACTATGGAGGTTGAGTTCATTTCCTGTTTTGAGGCTACCTCATATGGTGTGTAGTTGAAGAGTTTCATATCAAGGCTTAGAGTTGTTGATTCCATTATTAAGCCATTAAGGATATTTTGTGACAATTCAGCTGCTGTTTTCATCGCTAAAAACCACAAAAGTGGTAGTCGAAGCAAGCACATCGACATTAAGTATTTAGCTATAAGGGAACGTGTTAAAAAAAATAAAGTGGTCATTGAACACGTTAGAACTAATTTGATGTTAACTGATCCTTTAACTAAAGGCATGCCACTAATGAGTTACAAGGATCATGTGTTTAGGATAGGAATTGGTCTTATCATGTAAATTTTCGTCATATGGACGAATTGGTGAAACTGTTACTCAATTGTGATGTTATTCTCAATTCTGGTGTATACATTCAGTTATTCTGAGAATAACAATCATTTTTTGACCTAGAATAAACATAAGGTTTATTCATTAAGTTATGTTATCACATATGGGCAGATAAGACGCATTGTGATACATGGAAGATATTACTCGTTCTAAGAGGACTTATTGCCATGATTCATGTGTTTTATTTTCAACATGAAGTTTTTGTGTTTGGTTCAATATTTCATTTGGTGAAATGTTGGGATCAAGTGGGAGAATGTTATAATTATTATATCTATAATGTGATCCCACATTTAGTTTATTATTGCCCACATTGATTAATTTCGTCAACGTATATTGAGCGCATTAAAATACGTGATAACTATGATCGCCCAATATTAAGATAACTATCTTGATGGGAGAAGTTATCTATAAGAGTATGAATTGAGATATAAATAGGTTATTTAAGTCAAACCCTCTCATAACAAGAAGATCGATCTCTCATTCATTGATTTGAGCTATCGGAAAACACAACATCGACGTTGAGAAGGCAATTGGCTAGAAGTACCTATCGATGATCGTCAAAGCTCCGCATATCAGGTTCTCGATTTCATTAATGGCTGAATGTCAGTACAGATTTTTTAACGTTTCCGCACTCGATTATGATTATGCATGGTTATAGTTTATACATGAATAATCGGAATTTTCAGTCTTTCGCTATAGTTAAATTTCTAACATATCGTACCCATTTTCTTGCAAGCAGCTTGTGCTTAGAGAATAGAATAGGATATTGCTCCGACAGATACCCTCTGCCTTTCTCCTGCATTTGACCGAATGATTAAGCACAGAGCCGCTAGTACTTATGCAAGGTGTCAAGGACCAAGTAACAAGTCCATAATTCCTTCTTTAGCAAAACAAAAAATCCATAATTCCTTCTTTGTTGGAAGTAGACCTGTCAAAATGGGTCATAAACCCATTTCTTAATCCATATATCATTAAATGGGTTATAAATGTGTTAGTTATATTCAGTAAATGAGTGGTGTAATCATAATATGTATGTTAAATGAGTCATAAATGATTTTACAACTTGTTGAAATTCAACTCATGCTTTCACTCAATCTTATGCTCACTCATTTTGCACTATCATCTCAATTTGGGTATGAGTTTTCCTAGATTGAGTTAAATATTGAAATATATTAGCAATTTCGATTGGGTCGGGTATGGGTAATTATATTTGCATTACATGGAAATTGATCAAAATAGGTTAAATTGGTCTATTTGGGTCGGACCATTTTCCGACCCAATCCAAACCCGACCCGACCCATCTGTTTGACAGATCTTGTTGGAAGGGGGTCATAGGATAACTTAGAAGTTGAATCAGTTTTGAAAATCCGAGAAAATGTTTCTTCATTCTTCAAGTAATGAGGTACATTCAGCAATCTCATGTTGAGCAATTCCTGATAACCACCACTGACTTTTGACGGAGGTTCGGTTGGCTTGTGTCACCCTCGAACAACTCAGCGATTCAACTGGCGGTAGCTCTCAGAGTAGCACCCAAAATAACCTAACAGATTTCCCACTCATCCAGAGAAAAAACGATCAGAGAATTCATGAAAGAGAATAGGCAAAGGAACTCCTTATTGCCGCCAACCAAGCAGTATGCAAGAAATGAGCAGTGAACCGGTTGTGAATAAAAGGTGAGCCACCATTAAGAAGAAAGCTTTGACAAGAAACAAAGAACAGGAAGACATAACAAGACGTTTCTAGAAAAGCATGCAAAACTTCGCAGTTTGGCTGGAACTAGGCCCCAAGACGCATGTACAGAATGAACGTAAGCAGCATTCCTACCGCTCTGAAACGAGTGATACTCTTGGCATCTGGAAGGAGTCCAGAAGTCTGGTACATCGCATCCCTCCCTTTCCTTCTGTTCAGGGATGTGTACACCCTTTTGTCGAGAAGGGCAATTGCGGAAGGGAGAATCCCTAAGATCGTATGTTTGCGATTCTAATAAGAATAGAGAAACTCAAACAGTCTAAAAATTTCATTTCACAGTAGTAAGAAACATATACATGTACATCCGAGCCAATGACTTGGGAAGCACTAGCCACTGTAACTCCTCTAAGAGAGTGAATCAGGTTTGAAGCACGGAGAGCAACTATTATAATGTCTATGTATAAAAGAAATATATAAAAAAAAGCTACGACTATGATACTGTCACACCCCGAATACAACCAAAACGGGATCGTAACACGGCCGTCCTTTCACCCAAAGGACGCAGCCTAAACTTAAACAAGACTCGAAAACATAGAGCTTTCTAAAACCATCAAAAGGATATATACAAATCCAACAAAAAAACTATTCCAATAGCTCAACGTCAATATGTACAACGTACCCAAAATCCCACAATCAAAAAGAAATCCTCCGACTAACGCCCGCTCACGCCCTACTTGCGGCCAGCAGAAGAACCTGAAAGGTATGTAAGATAAGGGGTGAGCTACCACGGCTCAGTGAGTAACATATTTCTTCTAAGTGGGTCGAACAATTACTGTGCAATAGCATAAAAATATCACAGCTCATAACTCAAACTCAATGTACAATATAACCAAAAATATCTCAAAGGTATAATAACTTTTCAATAAAAGTCATTCGTATCAGATTTCTCAATAAAAACTCACTTAACAACAATAGCCAATCATCAATGGTCTATCCATTGACTAGTCTCATCACATAACACGTTGATGGTCAATCCATCAACCAATCTCATGCTCGTAATCAAACTATGGTCAAGTTTAACGCCGTGACAAAGGCGACCAAGTTTAACCCTCTTGGCAAGGTCTACCACTTATTATAAGCCGGCGGTTCGGCCCAGAAGGATATCCTGACAGTATGCATACTCCCCCCTCAACGGGTTCTCAACATAGTAATACGAGCAGCAGCAACTTATAACTCAATCTAGAAATCCATAATCAACACCAATAAATCCATTTCACAAAACATTTCACAACAAGAATAGCCCGCGGCTAATCCTCTTCACAAAACCTTTAATATAAGCATTCACAAAAGCTTCATTTCAATAACGTCATCAGACTTTTCAACTCATTTCACAATCGACAAAAGGTAGTAAATGATCGATCCAATTTATGCAGAAAACATGCTCCACTGTATTAAAAATTATATCTCATTATCAAAATATGAATTTGTAAATTCATAGAAGATATAATGTCCCTCACCTGGTAATCCACAACTAACCCATATGTGATACTTGAGCCGACGGTTCCAAAATCCTATCAAACATACGGAAAAACGAATCAAAACCGAGTAATACTTACCCCTAACGCGCGACTCGAATAAGCTAAGGCTAACTAGCCAATAATCCGACACCCACGAGCCTACGATGGCTTGCTCAATGGAAAAAATCTAATGCCAACCACAACGAACAACTCGCGCGCCAAATTTCCACGCGCCATAACTTCCTCCACCGGACTCCGTTTTGCGCGCTCTTATAGTCAAAACGAAACCCATCCAGCATACTATGGATGTCCCAACACAGCCAACCCAAACAACAGCCCAAAAACAACAATCAAAGCCCTGGAAAGTACTGTTCACGAAATTTCAGATTATGCTCTCAACTTCAAAATTTGATTCCGGACAAACCGTAACTCCGAATCGATATCCGTCAAAACGCACAGCCCCACAACACCATAATCTTTCATTTTCATGGATATTTAAGACTTGACAACCCAAAAATTGGACTACGCAGCTCAAATCCACATAACTCTTATTTCCGAGCCCTAATCGAAAAATTATTCCGATAGGACTAACGAGGGTTGCGAGTACTTACTAGTCGTTGCGTTACTTAGTCGGAATGGCTCGGCGAGGACCCGCGCGCACAAACCCTCCCTTTCTCTTCTTCCCTTTCTCCTCTCCTTTTTCCTTTTCTTCTCCTCTGTTTTTCTCTTCTGTTTTTCCCGACCAGCCGTTGCTTCTTCCTTTTATCTTTACTTTTTGACTTTTCTTTTCTTTTCTTTTCTTTTTTTTTTTTCCTTCAGCCTAAGTCTTTTGACCTGGTCAAAAGAAGAGGCAAATATTACATTCTACCCTCCTTAAAAAATTTCGTCCTCGAAATTTAGCCTTACCTTAACTTTCAAACAAATGAGGGTATTTGTTTCTTGCTTCTTCCTCAAGCTCCCATGTGGCTTCTCTCTCAGTATGATTTTGCCATTGAATTTTCACATAAGGGATTATACGTCGCCGCAGCACTTGCTCTTTTTTATCCACAATGCGAATAGGCTGTTCTTCATATGTCAGGTTTTCTCTTAACCTCAAAGGAGTGAAATCCAATACGTGTTCAGGATTTGGCACATATTTTCGCAATAAAGATACATGGAATACATTATGAACTCCAGATAACGCTGGTGGCAAGGCCAGTTTATAAGCAACTTCACCAATCTTCTCCAATATCAAGAACGGTCCCACATATCTTGGACTTAGTTTCCCGCGAGTGCCAAATCTCATAACACCCTTCATAGGTGAAACCTTTAGAAACACGTGATCTCCCACATCAAATTCTATCTTGCGCCTTTTAAGGTCTGCATAGCTTTTCTGACGGCTTTGAGCTGTTTTCAGTCGCTCTCGAATCAACCTGACTTTTTCTTCTGATTGTTGTATAAACTCAGGGCCAGTCAACCTCTTCTCACCAACATCGTCCCAACAAACCGGACTTCTGCATTTTCGACCATACATTGCTTCAAAAGGTGCCATCTTAATACTGGAATGGTAGCTGTTATTATAGGAGAATTCTGCCAAGTGCAGATGGTCATCCCATGAACCACCAAAGTTAATAGCACAAGATCGTAGCATATCCTCTAACGTCTGAATCGTTCTCTCCGATTGCCCGTCTGTCTGTGGATGAAAAGCCGTACTGAAGTTGAGTTTAGTACCCAACGCCCCTTGCAAGCTCTTCCAGAAGTTGGATACAAACCTAGGATCTCGATCAGAAACTATGCTCACTGGAACCCCATGAAGTCTCACTATCTCATTGACGTATCGCTTAGCCATGTCTTCAAGTGAAAGGCCAAATCGATACGATAAAAAGTGTGCCGATTTAGTCAACCGGTCGACAATCACCCATATAGCATTCTTACCGCTTGGCGTTCTCGGTAAACCGACGATGAAGTCCATGGTAATATGCTCCCATTTCCACTTAGGTATCTCAAGTGGATGTAGTTGTCCACCTGGTTTCTGATGTTCAATCTTTACTTGCTGACAAACCAGGCATTGATCGACAAACTTTACAATGTCTTTCTTCATGTTGACCCACCAGAAATGTCCTCTCAAATCTCTATACATCTTAGTACTTCCTGGATGAATCGAGTATTTAGTGCTGTGAGCTTCCTGCAATATTTCCTTTTTCAACTCAGGATCATCAGGAATACATAGCCGACCACGAAACCTCAATGACCCATCTACATGAATACTAAAATCCGACTGTCTCCCAGTTTCCACGCCTTCTTTGATCTTTCCCAACTGAGAATCATCATTCTGTTTAGCCTTAATTTTGTCGATCAATGTCGGTTGTACTCGAAGATTAGCTATCTGAGCACCTAATTGATGCACAAACACCTCCAAATCTAGCTTCCTCATATCCTCAAGGATAGGTTGCTGAGAAGTGAGCAACATTGCCATGTTTCCAGAAAATTTACGACTTAAGGCATCCGCTACTACATTTGCCTTACCTGGGTGATAATTGATGGATAAGTCATAATCCTTCAAGAGTTCTAACCATCTCCTCTGCCTCATGTTCAATTCTTTCTGAGTAAAGATGTACTTCAAACTCTTGTGATCAGTAAAGACCTCACATTTCTCACCATACAAGAAGTGTCGCCATATTTTCAAAGCAAATACAACTGCTGCCAATTCAAGATCATGAGTGGGGTAGTTCCTTTCATGTGTCTTCAACTGTCTAGAAGCATAGGCCACCACTTTATCGTCCTGCATAAGAACGCACCCTAAACCTTCTTTAGATGCGTCACAATAAATTGTGAAGCCACTGGTTCCTGAAGGTAAGGTTAATATGGGAGCCGTCACTAACCGCCTTTTCAATTCTTGAAAACTGCGCTCACACTGATCAGACCATACAAACTTAACTCCCTTTTGAGTTAGGCGAGTAAGTGGACCAGCTATTTTGGAGAATCCCTCCACAAATCTCCTGTAATAGCCAGCTAGTCCAAGAAAACTTTTCACTTCTGTTACATTGGTAGGGCGATTCCACTGAACAACCGCTTCAACTTTCTTTGGGTCAACTGCGATGCCATTCTTCGAGATAACATGACCCAAGAACTCAATATGATCAAGCCAGAAAGCGCACTTACTGAATTTAGCAAACAATTTCTGCTCACGCAAGGTCTGCAAGACAAGCTTCAAGTGTTGTTCGTGCTCCTCCAAACTCCTCGAGTACACCAGGATATCATCAATGAACACCACAATGAATTTGTCGAGGTAATGTTTGAATATCCTGTTCATCAAATCCATAAAAGCAGCAGGCGCATTTGTCAATCCAAAAGGCATGACAAGAAATTCGTAATGCCCATACCTCGTTCTGAAAGCAGTTTTAGATACATCATCTGCTTTAATTTTCAATTGATGATATCCAGACCGAAGGTCGATCTTAGAAAATACCCGAGCTCCCTGAAGTTGATCAAACAAATCATCAATCCGTGGCAAAGGATATTTATTCTTGATCGTTACCTTGTTGAGTTCACGGTAATCTATACAAAGCCGCATGCTACTGTCCTTCTTTTTCACAAATAGGACTGGAGCTCCCCAAGGCGAGACGCTGGGCCTAATAAAGCCCTTATCCAATAATTCCTGTAGCTGTGTTTTCAATTCTTTCAATTCAGATGGTGCCATCCGATATGGTGCCTTCGAGATAGGTCCTGTACCAGGCATCAGATCAATAGAGAACTCAATCTCTCTATCGGGTGGCAAGCCGGGCAAATCCTCAGGAAACACATCAGGAAATTCTCTAACAACTGGAACATTTTCCAGTTTCACAACTTCTTTACTGGTGTCTTTTACGCAAGCTAGATATCCATAACCACCTTTCCTTAGAAGCTTCCTCGCTTGCACTGCCGATATTAATCTTGGAAAAGTACCCTTACAACTTCCCGAAAAAGAAAATTCGGGCTCATTTGGGAGTCGAAAGGTAACTTTCTTTGAATGACAATCAACAGTAGCATGATATGTTGATAGCCAATCCATCCCTAAAATAACATCAAAATCTCGAATATTCAACAACATCAAATCTCCAGGCATTTGAACATTATCGACCAAAAGCATACATTGCTTAAATACACGGTCCACCATAACGAAGTCACCCGTAGGAGTCTCAATACGCAATTCATATTCAAGAGGATCAGGTAGCATATCAAGTTTCTTTGCGAATTCAGTTGAAATGAAAGAATGCGTAGCACCAGGGTCAAACAATGCATAAGCATATTGTGAGGTAATTGAGATATTACCGGCAACTACTGTGTTAGATGCTGCCGCATCCTCTTCCGTCATCGCATAAACCTTCCCTGTCGCCCTCTGTCTTGGCTGATTCTCTTGGGGCCTACCAACTGAGGGAACGTCCTTCCTCATGGAACAAAAGCGAGCTATATGACCAGGCTGTCCACAAACGAAGCATAATCTACTACCTGCTGGAGTATCTCTCTGCATTGGACAATTCTGCCGCATGTGTCCTATCTTCCCACATAGAAAACAAGTTCCCCGCTTCCAATAGCATTGGCCACTATGATATTTCCCACAAGTAACGCAAGCACCCTGAACAGTTTGACTCTTCCCCCTTTCAAACCTACTAGTGCTTCTTTGCTTGTTGTTGTCACGAATACGAATCTCTTGGAAATTAGTGAACTTCGGCCTCTTGGGCTGAGGAATACCCTGGGTGCCACTCTCCATGATCTCTTGTTCAATCTTAATTGCTCGCTCCAGGACATCCTCATAAGTGGTGAGTAAAAGAGATGCGAGTGTAAAACGAATCTCAGGTCGAAGTCCTCTAAAAAAATGTTCAGCTTTCTCCTTCTCATTTGCCATAAAATGCCCCGCAAACCTGCTCATCTGATTGAAGCGACCCGCATAGTCTAAAACAGAAGAATCACCTTGCGATATATGCGAAAAAATCGCCCTTCATCTTTGCTTGGAAGGATTTTGGAAAGAACTGGGCATTGAACGCTTCCTTGAAGTACTTCCAAGAAATAGTAGCATCTTCATCTCCAAGAGTGGACCTCTTTCCTTCCCACCAATACTCAGCTTCACCTTCCAAATATTGGGTGGCAAAGTCCACCTTCTTATCATTCGAAACTTCTTCAACTCTGAATATTCCCTCTATCTTCCTAATCCATCGCTCAGCTACAAGAGGATCAGTTTTCCCGTCATAAGTGGGCGGCTTTGACTTTCTAAACTGGGCAAAGGTGTAGCCTCTGCCACTCCCAGGTTCACCAGCTTCAACTACAACGTCTTGGGCCCTTGGCTGTTGACTTTCGCCTCTTATTTCTTGCGAGTCTGCTCCTACGTCATCTCGCCTTCTTGTCGGAGACCTTACTCTCGGACCTCGAGGCACATCTCTCGAGTCAAAGGTGATGGCTCTCTTTCCCTTATTCTTACGAAAAGAGATGAGCGGCTCCGAGTCGGAACTCATGATTACCTAAATCCAGAATCAAGAATACACCTTAGTATCTAAAACTAACGCATTAAAGTCTATCACATAATCTCACAACGTCCCACCCAAAAATCATAACCTATTGCTCTGATACCAACAAATGTCACACCCCGAATACAACCAAAACGGGATCGTAACACGGCCGTCCTTTCACCCAAAGGACGCAGCCTAAACTTAAACAAGACTCGAAAACATCAGAGCTTTCTAAAACCATCAAAAGGATATATACAAATCCAACAAAAAAA